AGGGTCGTCTGTCTTTGCGAAATATTTTGTATTCATCATTAATCGATATTGCTGTGTCTGGTATATTTGGAGAAAGCCAGGATTCTGTAATCAGTACAACTTCAGGACCATTATTCATGACGACTCCATGTAGTTCATCAATTTTAGTAGTTATATGACATGCATTTGTGAGCATGATTGTTGGGAGAAAGGTTTTGACTGGATCATTACTATTAGTTTTGATTTCTATACAGTTGCATTTGCCATAATTTGTATTGTATCCATTATTTATTTTAATATATTTGATTGGTTTTCTCTGGATTATACGAACGTCAATGGAGAAGATGTTATCATTGGTTGTGTAATCTGGTGCGATTAATCCACGATGGATACGATCCATTTTCTTCCCAGCTTAGCCCGGAAACCAGTCCTATACTGAAAACAAACGTCAACATGAGGTTCAACAGTAGTTATTTTTTGTTCAGAGTTTGATGAACAAAGTGTAGGTATGTTAACCATTCTTTTGCTTTGCTCTTTGGTCAGGTCAGGATAATAGTCTTGCTACTGGTAACCCACAAATCCGGTACCACCTGTTGGTGGTTCGGGCCGTCGGTGACTCAACCGACAACCCTCCTACCTCTATGGGGGAGGATGTACTTGGACATCCATACAGAACTAAAAACAATATCTGTTAAAGCCCTGAGGGCATATTCAAGGTTGCACCGTGGCAGCAACTAAGGGCGGAAATAGACAGACTTATTTTCTGGCCAGCCGCTGCAGCAGGTTGAAAATACTAACATGGCTCGACCTGTTCTTGCCTGCTGGATCACCTTTCCTACCTGCCGAGAGAGTGTCCCTGGTGTCGCGAAAGCCAGGAACCACTAAAAATCTTCGCAAGCAGATTTATGGAAATGGCACAGATGACTAACTCTAATACCGGCTCGAACGTCGCCCGGATCAACAATTTTCGCTCTGGGTTGCTCCCTCTCCGGCACCCAGTGAAAATTAAGATATGAGTTCCAGGTAACAACAGGAAGCGTCTGAATCTAGCTGAATGGAATGTTAGAACTTTGATGGACAGAGAAGGCTCAAAAAGACCGGAACGACAAACAGCATTAGTTGCTAAGGAGCTCAGTAGATATAATATTGATATTGCTGCTCTTTGTGAAACTCGGCTGCCAGAGTATGACAGCATCGTAGAAGATGGTTACACTTTCTTCTGGAGTGGAAAGGACGTAAATGAGAGAAGGGAATCTGGAGTTGGGTTTGCTATGAAAAATGCCATATACCAGAGCCTTGAGCAGGATCCAACACCGATTTCTGATAGAATCATGGTCATGAAATTGCCCAAGAGTTTTTCCTTGACGATTGTGAGTGTATATGAACCGACTTTGACAAACCCTGATGAGAACAAAAAGGAGTTCTATAGTGACCTGAGAGACACAATCAAGAATGTCCCAAACACCAATAAGCTGATAATTGCTGGTGATTTAACGCTCGAGTTGGGACAGAAGCCGAAAACTGGCCTGACGTGATAGGGGTACAGGGCATCGGCAAATGCAATTCTGCTCCGAATATAGGCTTCTCATCACAAACACTGTCTTTAAACACAAGCCTCATCATCAAGCTACTTGGACGCACCCGAGGTCGAAACACTGGCACCTCCTGGATTATGTGATCACTAGAAGAAAAGACCTGCACGATGTCCTTGACACTAGGGTGATGAGAGGTGCTGACTGTGCAACAGACCACAATCTGGTAGGGTAAAAATTAGTTCTGAGGATAAACCGCCAAGAAGGGGAACTCGAGGAAAGCCTCCATCCAAGCTGAACGTGAGAAGACTAAGGAACCCCAAGTGCCAGCAGGAGTTTGAGGAGAAGATGGAAAAGAACCTGGACTACACAGCAAATGAGGATGCTGGTGTTGAGAAGGAGTGGGAGATTTTGAAGACAACTGTGTATGAGACTGCGGAGAAAATTCTTGGAAAGCCAGAACGGACACACCACAATTGGTTTAACGAGGATGATTCTAAGCTAAAGGCACTGCTTCATGAAAGGAACGAGGCCAAAGCACAAGAACTACAACGTAAAACCCGTGCGACAACCATTCGCCTTGCCAGAGCACGCAGCGAACTTCAAAAGTACACTCGGAACATGAAGTCAAAATGGTGGAAAGAGAAAGCGGAAGGATTACAACAAGCAGCGGATCTAAACGACATGAAGGCATTTTATAACGGCTCAAGGGATATCTACGGACCACGCAGAAAGGGAACAACTCAGCTTCTAGCCCAAGATAGTGTGACAGTGCTGCAAGAAAAGGAGGAGACCCTGAACCGTTTTGCTCAGCACTTTGACCAACTACTGAATGTGTCAGAATCTGTGGACAGAGATGCTCTAGATGAACTACCAAATATCATTCCCGATGCAGACATGGATGTTGCTTCGAGCTTCGATGAACTGTTGACGGCAATCACCCGTACCCGGGAAAATAAAGCCCCTGGTGGATGTGGAGTCCCTGCCGAGGTCTGGAAGCATGGAGACTTGAGACTAAAGGAGAAGCTGCATTAACTGATATTACATATCTGAAGAGAGGAAGTTATGCCACAAAATTTGAAGGATGCTAACATTGTTCCCATCTTTAAAAAGAACAGTAGGAGGAATGTGGAAATTACAGGGAATCTCTCTCCTTTCGACTGATGGAAAGATAATGGCGCGTGTGATCCTCAACCGTTTAGAGAAGTACATACGTACCCGGATACTACCTGAGACATAGTGTGGTTTTCGGAGAAATTGAAGAACTATTGATATGGTCTTCTGCCTCCAAGAAAAATGTACCGTACAGAACATGGAGCTCTACGCTGTATTTATTGACTTTACCAAAGCCTTTGATACAGTCTCAAGGGAAGCACTATGGAGCGTGCTGAAGAAGTTTGGCTGCACCGACAAGGTTGTAAACCTGGTGAGGGAGCTTTATGATGGTATGCAGGCAAAAGTAGTTCAAGGGAAAGATGTTTCATCAGAATTTGCTGTGACGAATGGTGTGAATTAAGGCTGCGTTCTTGGTCCAGCATTTTTCTCGCTCTACCTGACAGCTATGTTGCATGTGGCTTTTAAAGACATTCACAAAGGGATTTACATCCAGACAAGACACACTGCAGATCTCTTCAATGTCTCCCCCTTCAAGGCAAAATCACGAACAACAAAAAATCTCTTCAGAGAGGTGCTGTTTGCGGACGACAGTGCTCTGATGGCTCACAATGCATCGGACATACAGTTGCTTGTTGACAGATTCTCAAAGGCTGCTACCCAGTTCAGCCTTAAGATAAACATCAAGAAAACAGAGTGCTTGTATCAGCCAATCAAACTTCACAATCCCCCTCCTGAGCCAAAAGACATCACCATCGATCAAGTCTGGCTTGTCCAAGCCACGGACTTCACATAACTTGGAAGCACTGTTTCCAGCTCTTCAAAAATAGAGAAAGAGCTGAAGGTCAGTATTGGGAAGGCAAGTACAGCATTTGGTAAGCTCCAAGAAAGACTGTGGAACAATAGGCATGTGACAATCAGGGTAAAATGCAAAGTCTACAGAGCTGTGGTGTTATGAACCATCCTTTAAGGAGCAGAAACCTGGACCATCTGCAGAACTCAGGTAAAGAAACTACACGCTTTTATGATGAGACAGCTGAGAGATATCATGAGCATTAAGTGGCAGAAAAAATCACGAATGTTGAAATCCTGAAACGTGCTAACCTCCCCTCGATGGCAGACATTCTGATAGAAAGAAACCTTCGTTGGCTGGAGCATGTACACAGGATGGATCAGGAAAGACTCCCAAGATAACTGCTTTTCTCACAACTATGTGAAGGGAAGAGAAACCAAGGAAGACCCAGACTCAGATACAAAGACCTTGTAAAACGACACATGACAGTAAGACAGATCCCACCTAACAACTGGAAGACGGCCGCAAGCAACAGAGCGGCTTGGAGTTCGGCGATCAAAAACAAACCCAAGCCATAAACAGTCCTAGTCGTACCGACTGACTTCCCGAGAGAGGGAGTAGGACTCGACAGTTGCTCGGTGTTAATTGCTGTAAGCGATGTTAAATTTTGTTTTTAATCAGAAAGGACATCATGAATTGTATCAACTGGGTTTGATGACTTGTGCTCCAGACGGGCAGAGTTCTTTATCTGGAGTTGTTCTATGCCAGCATGATTTGCAGTATACTTAACATGTTGTTTTTCAAGATATTTAAACATTTGCATTGAAAATGCGTCATTGAAATTTTGTTTGTTATTAATTGTAGTATAATTTTGTCGGGTAACGGAACAGTTTTTCGCCTTGGTGTAATTATTTTTGCGTTTGTCACGATATATTTCTAGTTGATCATCAAGAGAGTTAAGCGATTGTGATGGCACAAAATTATTGCAAATTTTAAATTCATGTGTATTGTTTCTAGTTTCAATAGCTCGGTCAAACTTTTTGTTTTTAAATCTCTTTTTTAACATTAATACATCCGTTCTAAGCTCTTTAATTTCCAACTCAAGCTTGATATTTTTATCCTTTTGTACTTGCAACTCTGTTTGCAATGCCCTTATATCGTCGGGGGGGAAAGATTGGGTATTTTCTAAGGTTTGAAGTGCATCGACTTGGCTTTGAAGAATTTCAATATCAAGTATAATATCTTTGACACACTCATTAATGTTATTTTCGGCGATTGAGGTGTCATTCCAACTGAGGCTTGGGAGGGAATACGTTGTAAACATCTATAACATACCTTTGTATTTGCTTTAAATTCTTCCGAAGTTGCAGATACACACATTTGAATTAGACAATATCTTAGTTGAATACCGCTTTCTCCTTGAAACATCAACGTATTCTGTCTACCACAGTACCAAGTACAAACCAGATCATTGATTGAACCAACAAACTTTTTTGAACTACCTCCCGGTGATGACTATTTGCCTCGTTGATCAAGGCTATTTTTGTAAAAACCTTGCAGTGTTTTTAAACAATTTGGCCAATTTAATCGTTTTCCATCATAAGCAATACATTTAGAAGCTTTAAAACTATAAATTCTTTCTATATCACAAGTAAGATTACATTGATCGCAAGACAATAAACACAACCTTCCACCATCTTAGGTAATAGGAGAACTTTGAAGCAAAAATTGAAAACGAAGGTGTTACAGTTTTGAGAAAGATGAAATGGAATTCCACGTTCGTCTTTATGAGTTGCTCTTTTGAAAGACTTTGCAAAGATGCCTTTGGCTGGGGTTATCATATTATGTTTTTATTAAATTAAGGCAAAATCAGAGTTTGTAGCTATGTGTGCATTAATTTTAGAAAATATACAACTATTTTTTAAGGACCGATTTTATTTGACGATTGTGTCGAAGCTTATGAAAAATCTTGTTCAAAGTAAAAATATTTAAATATAGAAAATTTAAGTATATATCATCTAGTTTAATTTTTGTTGCTGATAAATTACGTTTACATCAACGCACTGCTTTTCTAGTGATCAAAAAAGTACTATCTCAAATCACGAAACGATTTGGGTTATGCTGAAACGGAATGTCATATAGGTGGCAGCCCAAACCTTGGATGTACTGGTATCGGATGGACATTTCTTGAAAACATAAGTGGAAGCTCCTCAACAGTAAGTCAAGATAAACATCACGAGCACCATCTGCTCGTAGTCTATTTTTCGGTCAAAAACTCTTGAATATTTCAGCATCTTATTTTTTAAATTCCTTTACAAAACTATGAATGCACACCCAGCTGCCAAATTTTTCATCGGGATGTTACGATAAAGGATTTAACGTTGGAGATGTAAATTTCAATCAGGCTCGTTTTGGTATTGTTTCTGTTAACAGACCAGGTAAAATAACTTTTAAAAAATGATTGTTTGACAAACTCCATCTACATTCAAATGTTTTGAAATAAAAATATTTTGTTAATGCTGCATTCCCTTTGAGTTTATTGGTACTCAACACAAATTTTGGTGGATAAGTTGCAAGAATAATTTAAACTAATTTTGAAAGATCAGTCTTCACTTCTAAAGTAACTGCAAATTTGTGTTTTCTCTGTTTTAGGATGTAATAATACTGTTGCTCAAGCCATTGGTGTAGGAATAAAAATACATGGAAGGAAGAATATCCGTGTAAATGGTGTAGTTAACAATGTGATGTCACTTATTTTGCTTCCTACCTAGACTTTAGCTTTTATGCTCGTTCCCGTCCTCCTAGAATTTAGCTCTTAATTCTAAGATTTTAATCTGCTATTATGCCGCCAGCACTTGCTTAAATGATTCCAATATAGCTAACTTGGTCCTTTGCCTATATTCAATTTTTTTGAAAGAATGTTATATGCAGTGCGGTGTTTGAAATTAAATGAAGATATGATCTTCGCACTTTTGCTGGACAATTTAAGCAATTGTCTCATGAGCCTGAAAAAATCAGGTGACTCAACGGGATTTGAACCCATGACCTCTGCGGTGACAGTGCAGAGCACTGCAGATCATATCTTCATTTAATTAAATTTTTTGTAAGTTAGATTTATAAGCACAACCCCACTTGTTCAATTTAAAAAATCTTAGACTTATCTTCCACAACAAAAGACACTAAAGTAAAAAAAAGCACTGAAATGAAGCGTATCAGTTTTATGTCTAGTAAATGAATATTGTTCTAGTTAATTTAGAAATAATATAATATGATGGATATACTTATAAATAATGGTTATGCCTTAATAACATAGTCATCACAAATAATATTGTGCTTATGTTATGAATTGCGGCATTGTAAAACAGTGGCATAAAACTATAGATATAATATAATAAAACATAGATTGCTGACGTATGAATAGCGGCTGTGGCCGTCTTGAAAAATCTAAGAAGGCGGAACAAGAAGGTGAAAGATATGTAGAGTGTTTGCACGCACGTCCTCACTACGTCAAAAATTTGGTTGTCCGCAATTATGGGGAGTGAGGAGGGGCAGTAATATAAGTTACTATTATACCGACCAAATTTTTTAAATTTATTGCGCTATGGCATGATTTTAAATCATTCAAACGACAGGGTCTGAGCAAACAGACCTTTCCTTTTGTCGAACGGACAAAATCACAAGGAAAAATGACAAATAAACAAAGATTTCGTAAACCAAACGTATGAAGAGGCGACTTGCGAACGACTATTTAAGCTGAGATTTAAGCCGTTAGATTTAGGTTTCTCAAGACTTTGTGTACGATATGTTCAGTTTTTCATTGCCTTACATAACAACAATCAACACACACCCACTTGTTATACTTCAAGGTTAAACAGGATTCTCGTGGGATGCATTAGTTGTAATATCTTTGACTGCAGAAGAAGGAAAAACTGTTTGTCTGGGGAAGATGATGTGGAAATATCTAAAATGATTTATTGAAATAAATTTGAGATGATAAATTGCAGAGTCCCTTAAACTTGCATCAAGTCTAGAATTATTTTAGAATAATTTAGCATTGATTTATTGAATGTATTGATTTTATTTGGCTTAAGAGTTGAAAAATTTTATTATAATGAAAGGTTGGGTATATTATGGTTTATATTTATAGGTTAAAGGTTTGTACATTATTTGCGAATTGAAAAGTATTTCCTTGTTGAACAGCAATTACCTCTCACTTAATGATCTTACCACACTTCCAATTTCTTTTAAACTTCTAATGCTCCTCTACTTGCAAATATTATATCAATTCTTTGTTGCGAATCAAAAATATATATCCTTAAACTCTCAAAAATAATACTATTTCAGCTTTTCAACATAAAATGATTTTAGAGGTAGACTTGATGCAAATGTAAATTAACTTGTGCAAATGAGTGGCCTTGTGATTGTGTCTTTGTTGATTTTTAGTCGCTTCAACCAATTATTTAGTCCAAATGTGATTACACAATGCCAAAATATTACATCAAATGCGCAATATATATGAAACTTGTATATCAATCAAAAGTATCAATCAATATATATAAATATTTATTGATGCTTTTATATAATTTTGCTTTCATGCAGCAAGAAGCAATGACATATGTCAGAGGAACTAATTCACTTCAATCATAAAAGTCATAGTTTCTAAATAGAATAATTTAGTTCTGTTCTGCAAAACAGCAGTTAATCGAGGGTTGTGCAAAATAGTTTACAATCAACTAGTAACATCTTGGCTAAAATTATTATAGATTTTTAAACAGCAATAGCATTATATAATGATATTATGAATTCTGTTTTTATAACTCAGCAAATTTAAATTGTTGTCTTATCATGTATTCAATAGATCTTCCAGAATTAATACATGATATCTGCCAGTATACAAACAATGTTTACTTAAAGTTCAATAACAGCAAATTAAAGTAGCAATTGACTTGCCCTAAGACACTTTCTCATGCCTTCAAGTCGCTTTAATCAATAAAGATAGTTGTAATAACTTGGGCACAATACATTCACTGCCCAAACTCCAAATGACGAATATCGACTTGTGCTGTGTTATTTTTGTTTGAAATTGCCGTATAAGAATAGCAAAATTTGCTCTCCTGTCAATTTTCTACTTCTTCATGTATATACATTCCCTAAGTATGTGCAATTACTGAAATAAAACATTGTTTCGAAGATTACAAAGTTTGTATTATTTTCGTAAGAATAATACAAACACCTCTTTTACTACTTTGAAAATTTTCGCTATCCAATGGATAACGCTATCCAGTCTTCGTCCAACCGGCCCCTGAATTCCAATGACGTATTTATTAGGAGTGCAATTGATTCACGCTCCAGTCGCTGACTCAAACGCCGATCAGATATTGCACATTGCGCCCGTAATGAAATAGTCAAAAAGCAATGGTTTTCTCAATTTTGATTAATCTAAGGCTTATAAGAAGCTCTCTCGTTGGTCAATAAATATTTCGATTAACGGTTACTGGCTTTTTGACTAATGTGGAGTAAAATTTCGTAAAATTCAAGACATTGACGATGCTTATTGATAGGTTCCTAGACGGAGAAGCTTAAAGAACGGAATCGCTGATTTGCTGTATATAAACTCAAAACATTATCTCAATTTATCTTGAAGAAGAACTTTAACACCAACACGATTTCTTTGAGCTGTTATTAAAGCTATAATACATTTACTCAGAGGCAACATTTGGCAGTGATATTATATATTCATTACAATTGAATGATTTTAGTGAAACTCGTTCTTTATTTCGAAATAACAATCGCGGGGAGATACTGTCTGGTGTACGACTACGATAAGCAGCTTGATGTGGCCAAAATTGTTCCTACCGAAAAGTTATTTGCTGTGGTTTCTGCTGAGAATCTTGGCCGCAGATATAGCAGCAGAAGTTTACATTCTTTCTAGCGTATTTGAAAAAACGATGAAATGTACGGCCTTAAGGTGAAATGACATTAGTAACTTTATTTAAGCATATACTCTGGAATTTTTCGTTCATGATCATTATACAATGTATTATTCCGGATTTAAAATAGTTTCAATACAAATGATTGTGTGAGAAGTTGTTATAATAAGATTAGTCATTATGGCACTTACTTCAAACTATACATTATGGCATCTTTATTCATGAATGTAGTGTTTTTTCAAACTGCTGTCATAGTTTGTCTCTATTTAATGTTGTCATAAATTTATGATTATGGCATGTCAGTTACATTATTTGCCGATCTGCAACTGGAAATTGCTTAATTATTGTACCTTTTCCCTGTATTCTCCGTCTTTCTTCTGTATTGTGCTGCAAAATTTACACATTTAATATTGATTGTTGGGAAGTATGTCAAAAAATACTGTTTAACTCCAGGATTCAACCTTGGTTGGTAAAGGTAATTAAAAATGATCCAGTCAATATTTTATTTAATTTTAAGGGATCTGTTGTTCGTGGCAATACCTTTAAAGTTAACCATTTTGTGCCTCTTTTATTTTATTCAATGCCATTAAAGCATTATTCTGTTGGCACCGCAGTTTTTAAGAGGGTTTATGAAGTCATTCATGTTGCTCGACAAAAAAATCAAGTATGAATTAGAAGGTATGAATTATTCATAAACAAAAAAAATTGATTCATGATGTTTTTAAGACAGGCAAATCATATAAAATCCCCATGAAAAATGGTCTTTTAAGCATATGTGGTTGAAAAAATTAATTGGCTCTGCTATTTGGATGGTGCATATCGTGTGTGTTGTGTTTTGCTTCATGAAAATTATACATCAAAACCTGGAAGGATTTTTAAATTTGTTACTGAGCCACTTCTGCAATAGAATTATGCCATGTACACCTTTCAAAAATATGAAGGCAAAAGTACTGGGGGAGGAAGGAATTGATTTACATTCTTCTACCATTAAAATCAGCTTAAACTCAACAAGAATGCCTTAGTCCTAAGGCGTCAAAAGTGTATAATGGTGGCAATTATGAGCCTACAAGATACTTTGTAAAAATTCCCTGGTTTGTTTATTGTTGAAATCACCGTTTATTTCAAAAAATAAAGAACATCTACCAAGAAAATCAGGTATCTTTTATTCAATTTTTGTGCAAATTTTGCCTTTTTTGAAGCTTAAGTGTCTAGGTTAGTATAGTGCCAGATTGCCAATTAACCTTTTACGCAAAACTGTCCATGTCTAGAATCACAATATGTGTTTTTTACACATGCTTATGAGCCCTGACACTGGGCGAAAAAGCCATTATGTAAGTATTGTTCTCAATATCTTTAAAAAATGCACGAAAATGCTATTTTACCCCCAAATGATGCTAAAAATATGATTAGCACTTGCATATCCGAGACCCTAGAAATCAAAATTTTTCCGAGAAGTATTTATCCTTTAAAGAATACCTAAATTTTGAAATAAATGTCTGTCAGTGTACGTATACGTACTTTTTTGAGTTACCTAGTTTATTTGGATTTGCATTTATTCTTTAGATATGTATTTAACTTGGGTAACCATTACTTATATTTTCATTAAAATGAACTCTTGTTTTGGGTAAATACACAATTTACTCGATTTTAGGAGTAACTATGCGTGTTCTTGACTTGAGAATGTAGAACTCTTTTTTTAGTAGTTTCAACACGTATTTTTAAGTAATTTTCGGAGTAACTATGGGTGCATTGGATTTGAGTATGTACATCTCGTTTTTGAATAAATTTTGCTCATATTTTTGCGTAGTAATTTAACCCTTTACTCAAATTTTGGAATAACTATGAGTGAATTTACTTAAAGAGGATTAATAAACATGAAGCATTCCGATTAGATTGTCAGTAGCAGCGGATAGTGTATGATTGTCCTACCTCAATAATTGATATTAA